TGTTATTGTTGTTATTGTTGTTATTGTTGTTATTGTTGTTATTATTGTTATTATTGTTATTATTGTTATTATTGTTATTATTGTTATTATTGTTATTATTGTTATTATTGTTATTATTGTTATTATTGTTATTATTGTTATTATTGTTATTATTGTTATTATTATTATTATTATTATTATTATTATTATTATTATTATTATTATTATTATTATTATTATTATTATTATTATACTCATGGCAAATTTTGGTTTTTTAGCTATATGTTTGATATATATGATTTTCTTGGACATGTTGTAGTTTAACTTTCTAGTACCTTGCAGTTTTTTGTATGTTAGATATAATGCACAAGAATTTCAAATATACGCCAGTTTTATTTTACTAGAGCATGAATATAGGTTTTGCTACATGGCAAACTTATGTAAAACATCATGGCTAATTCTCCAAGTATAAGTAATGGACAACTTTAGTTTGTCATGCATGGGAAATCTAGGATTTAGCTGATGGCAACTTTTTAGGTCCAAACATCATGGCTACTTCTTTTTTCGGTATAAGTGATGGAAAACTTTAGTTTGTCATGCATGGTAAATCTAAAACTTAAGTAAAAACATCATGGCTACTTTTCTCTGTTTTAAGTTATGGAGAATAGACCCAGGGGACCATAGGTTCACTAGTGGCATCTCTCTCGAAGCTATGGGTGGTGAACCCCTGCTGCTTAGATGCCTATGTTGAATTAGTATGTTGATATAATTTCACACACTACGTTCTTATTGTGTTTGTATTAGGTCGAGATGTTGTTGGTATTGCATTTCTTAATTCAAGACAACAATAAGTGTTTATATTTGTATTAACATATGTGTGGGCAAAAAAAGATGTGACATTTACGTATAAATGTGTGGGGGTATTTGTAAAACATATGTGAAATGTTCAGACTGCAAAACATTACGAACGCTTTAGAAATAGTTTGAGTATCAAAATCAGACCGATCACTTTCAGTATTTGTCAAAAAAGGTTTTGAAATAGTTTCAGCATGTTCAAGAATATTCAGTAGCACTTAAAGAAATAGTTTGAGAACTTCCGGAATGTTTGTAAACACTTCCTGCATATGTACCTTGAAAATGAACTATATCATGTAATATCCCGAGTATTGACAAATGTCGCATGCCATCAATTGAGATCGTACGATGCGAACAATTCATGAAACGTGTTTCATATAGACCGCATCGCTTCTCGGTTGCATTAGGTCTTTCCATTAAGGCACAACGGGTCATCTAGTTAGCTGAAGTATCAACCATTATACTATCCTGGTAGATTTGCTGGAACACCCCTCTATAGCGGTTGATGTCGAGGGTGATGTTCTGGCCGTTGAGGAAGAGCTCCCACGTCATACCATACCCCTGCCTATTTATGGAGGCGACATCGGTGAAGACAGCATGGTCCCTCGGGTATTTGTACTTGAGCGTCGTCTCCTCCGGGGTCGTCTCGTATTGGACGTACCGGAGCCCCATGTCAGCCGACGGTGCACCAAAGGCAGCATTGGATCCCCAGCTCATGTCGCCCCACGGGACGACCTGCACCAACGTCGCGTTGCGCGGGAGGAACACCAGGTTGGTGAGCCCTGCGCCATGCACGCCCACCATCACGTCGCATGAGTTCACAACCTCTGCAAACCGGGCCATGTCGCTCACGACATGCGGCTCTGCCGACACCACCTCGAAGCCGACCTCTGTGGCAGCTGCGACGGCCTCCGCCTCATTCACGAACGCCCTCGAGTTGCGGCGCAGGATCATGAGGAGGCGAGGCCTGTCACCGGAGGTCCGGTTTACAGGGGTCGACCACTCACGCTTCAACGAGTAGATCGAACGAAGAAAGTTCCGGAAGTCCGTCATTGTGTAGCCCTTGCGGGAGAGAGCAGGGATGATCCCCATCTCCTTATGGCCTTCGGTGCCGACGTGCACCGACGGGAAGCAACGCACCTTGTCATCGGCGTCCAAGTTGATGACCGGGTACTTGGAGAGCGCGGCGAGGATGTCTTTGAACTTGTCGACCCACTTGTGGTTGTAGTCGGTGACCACAAGCTGGACGTGACCATTGTACTCCCTCACAGTGTTGAAGAGAGGGATGACGCCGTCGGTCATGGCGTGGAAAAAGTTGCTGAGGTAGGCGCCGGTGGAGAAGACCACCGCGGGGACGTCGTGCGTCACCGTGCACCGTGGCGCATCGAGGCCGCTCCAGCGGATGGTCACCCCTCGTATAGCATTCATGGTTCCTTCCTCCGACTTACGCGGGTATGGGCGGATCTTCACCGTCCCATTCTCTGGCCGGTAGCTATCATCAGACACCGAGACCACGTACACGGTGGCGGATTTGCCGTGCATACGGACATCGCCTTGCATGGCACATATGTCCATGCGTTCACTGCTGAAGTCGCAAATTGACTTGCTTCTTGGTGCTGCCACATCTGTATCATGCATAAAAGAGTTACTCCCTTTTTGGATATTTTGATATGGACTACTTACGTACTGAAATGAGTTGTTACAAAAAGAAAACCCAACTGATATGAGTGAACAAATAACTAAAATGCGTCTATATAAAGCCGGATCAGAAACAAATTGTACAACATCTTATATATGTGAGTGGAGGAAGTATTAATTAGTACTAGTTAGAAACTTTTCTTAGGTTTTCTTTTGTCACTCTTAGGAAATTTCCAATTGCCGTTGGATCATTCCATCATGGGCAGCCCTTTATTATATACTCTACTAGTCATCGGTTCATGCACGGGCTCATACATGTATTCTGACAATTATATGGTTACTATTAGTAGGTAGTGTTTTGGAGGTAAATAGTAAAAACAATTAATATTTTGAAAATTTAAGAAGAATTTTGTAATGAACATGTTCAGGTCTTAACATGCTTGAAACTTTTCATGAACAAAAGAAAGATGTTGTGATCTGGGCCAAAAAAAAGGTTCTAAACGAAGGCTAGTTTTAACATGAAATATCTTCACCTACTTCACTACATATGTTGTTTCTTGGTAAAATTCACTACATTGTTAAAAGAGACATTCATGTATGTTTGAAAAAAGAAATCAATTTTCTTTGACCATTTTTGCCTCTTTCTTGTTTACTGTTAGTTCGGGATCTTGTGGTGTGGCCTCCGAAAGAAATATCTGACTTACTATCATATTGATTTCATATGGACACTCAATATACAGTGCATAAGTCCCTATATTTATCTCTCTGATGTTTTCGTATTAAGCATTGGGCCAAACAAAATTGCATGGTCATATTATTGTATCTATTTTCGCACATTTTTTACACTAACTAGTTAGTGATAGAGATTCTGATTGCGTAGTAGATACTCTCTCCATCAGAAAAAGCTTGTTGTGCTAGATACATCTATTTGAGGGACAAATTTTTTCAGACGGAGGGAGTAGATTAGTCTATTAGGATTCTGCTTTGAGAGGCACATACACATATAGACTAGCAAAGGGCTAATCGGCTACAAAAAAAAGTGTAAGCGAATGTTTATACAGTATATGTTAATAGAAAATGTCACCCGCAAAAAAAAATGTTAATAGAAAATGTAAAGACGTAGAGATTCAACTGCAGGAACTTAGAACCATGTGCAAATCGTTTGGTTATTCTGTTGAATTCAAATCGTTTGGTTATTTATGGCATGTTTTCTAGGATTAACACGGTGGCTTGAAAGATGCCTTCAATTAGTACTCCATTCGTCTCATAATACAAAAGCGTTTTTGACACTAGCACGCTAGTGTAAAAAATGCTCTTGTATTATGGGACGGAGGGAGTGTTGAAAGCGCTCTTGTATTATGGGACGGAGGGAGTAATTAGGAGTAATTTTTATAATACGTTGGTACTGTACTACAACCCAGTGCTTGGATATGCAGTATACATACATTGTACGTACCTGATTTTATCAAAGAGGCATCTACTCCCGCGTTCATGGCTTGCAACCCCTTCTCGTTTTGGAGATCTGCAACAGATTACAGTACATATATTCAATTGAGTAGGCAGACTTGTGTTTCCAACAAGCTGACTGAACCTCGGTGCTCTGGAGAGATCAAGTAATTAATTACCTCTGATCCCATCGAGGACGTCGCCGCTTGATGCGGGAGAAGGTGGCGCTTCGACGACCGGGTCAGGACTAAATGAAGGATCGACGATTATACTATCATGGTAGATTTTCTGCAACACCCCTCTGTAACGGTCGATGTCGAGAGTGATGTTCTGGCCGTTGAGGAAGAGCTCCCACGTCATACCATACCCCTGCCTGTTTATGGAGGCGACGTCGGTGAAGACGGCATGGTCCCTCGGGTATTTGTACTTGAGCGTCGTCTCCTCCGGGGTCGTCTCGTACTGTACGTACCGGAGCCCCATGTCAGCCGACGGTGCACCAAAGGCAGCATTGGACCCCCAGCTCATGTCACCCCATGGGACGACCTGCACCAACGTCGCGTTGCGCGGGAGGAACACCAGGTTGGTGAGCCCCGCGCCATGCACGCCCACCATCACGTCGCACGAGTTCACGACCTCTGCGAACCGGGCCATGTCGCTCACGACCTGCGGCTCTGCCGACACCACCTCGAAGCCGACCTCTGTGGCAGCTGCGACGGCCTCCGCCTCATTCGCGAACGCCCTCGAGTTGCGGCGCAGAATCATGAGGAGGCGAGGCCTGTCACCGGAGGTCCGGTTTACAGGGGTCGACCACTCACGCTTCAACGAGTAGATCGAACGAAGAAAGTTCCGGAAGTCCGTCATTGTGTAGCCCTTGCGGGAGAGAGCAGGGATGATCCCCATCTCCTTATGGCCTTCGGTGCCGACGTGCACCGACGGGAAGCAACGCACCTTGTCATCGGCGTCCAAGTTGATGACCGGGTACCTGGAGAGCGCGGCGAGGATGCGTTGGAACTTGTCAACCCACTTGCGGTTGTAGTCGGTGATCACAAGCTGGACATGGCCATCGTACTCCCTCACAGTGTTGAAGAGAGGGATGATGCCGTCGGTCATGGCGTGGAAAAAGTTGTTGAGGTAGGCGCCCGTGGAGAAGACCACCGCGGGGACGTCGTGCGTCACCGTGCACCGTGGCGCATCCAGCCCGCTCCAGCGGATGGTCACCTCCCGGATAGCATGCATCGTTCCTTCCTCTGACTTGCGCGGATACGGGCGGATCTTCACCGTCCCGTTCTCTGGCCGGTAGCTGTCTTCAGACGCTGAGACAACGTAGACGGTGGCAGATTTGCCGTGCATACGGACGTCGCCTTGCATGGCACAGATGTCCATGCGGTCACTGCTGAAGTTGCAAATTGACTTGCTTCTTGGTGCTGCCACATCTGTATCTGTAAGATGCACAGAAGAGTTATTAATCAGTAGAAAGAAACTTCTTTTTACTAGTTTTTAGAGGGTGCTTGGATCCAAGGGACTATTTTTAGTCTGACTAAAAATAGTCTCTTTTAGAGGCTAAAGTTCCAAGCACCCCTGACTAAAGAGAGGTTAGGACTAGTCTTGAGGCTAAAATTTTTTAGTCATAGGAAACCTACTAAAATATGTATTAGCCCTCTCTCTTATCATTTAGCGCCTCTCCTTTAACACATGCGAGTTCTGGATTCGAGGGTTTGAAGGATAATAAATGCTCAATAACTTGATTTTAGTCTCTTTAGTATTTGGATCCAAACATGGATGAGGCTAGCAAGTTTTAGTCCTACTACTTTTAGTCATGGGACTAAAACGTATACAAGCACCCTCTTAGTACCTTGTCATTCTTGGAGAGATCGAAAAGGTAATTAATTACCTCGTGGACGGGCTTGACTTTTGTTGGCACTGACGACGCCGGGGCGTGATGCGGGGGAAGGATGGTGGCTTGTTGCGGGAGAAGGTGGTGCGTTGACGGGCGTTTCATCGCCTGATGCGGGAGAAGGTGGTGCACCGACGGGCGTCTGCTCGCTTGATGCATGACCGACCAAATCTGAATTAGACCAAGGATCAACCCATATTACTGTTAGTGCCAAAACCAATGAACTAATTAGAGAACGCTCAAGCTCATGGGCAGTATACATACTCGCGTTGCAACAGATATGTTAAATTACCTCCGCCCCCCTCGTATTAGTACTTAGGGTCATATTTTGATCATGATTTTAACTAATAAAAGTATGAGTTATACATAGTAAAGATAATATTATCGGAAACTATGTTCAAACACGATTTCAGCGATGTAATTTTTTTTGATGACATGCATTAACATTTTGTTAGATAAATCTGTGGTTAAAATTGAGCATATAATATAAAGGAGACCAAAAAACAAGGAGATGCGTCAATTCATACTATGGGCCAAGAGTTTGAGTAATGAGTCTTTGGGACAAATGAATCGAAGATGAGTGCGCACACGTATAGATCAGATGAACACTCGAAACCTAGAGTTGTTGCTTGTAATGTAATTGAGGGGACTTACAAAGAGTTGTTGCTTGAAGAGGAACCTGCGGCATGTGATGGGAGTTGAGCACGACGAAGACGAGGACAGGAAGCAGAAGCCACACGAGAGCCCTTGCCGCGGCCTTGCCCGCAAGCATCTTACCCTTGTCGTTCCTCCTGCCCTTTTTCATCTTGTACCCACTGGCTTGTTCACTTAGCTTGAGTGAACAATGGTGGACACTGATCGTCCTCACAGACCTGGGAGCTACTCCTACTGGCTAGTATTCTGCAAAGTCTGGAGTCTAGTGAGTAGTACTAGTAGTACAAGTGAAGCGTGATGCGATCTCCTTCCCGAACGCGCGCGCTTCTCATATTACTCTACTCGAGACCGGGTCTTAAGTCTTTGGGTTGACCTCACCTCTGAGTGTCATAATGGCACCACTGCGCTAATCGAGCATACTACTGCCACTAGCATATATGTCTAGTACTACCTTCGTCCCGGTGTATAAGTCATTCGCGTAGTTCTAGGTCGATAATTTAACTATCTAAATATGTATTATATGTGACAAAAAATATATATTTAGAAACTACATCCGTGTGGAAATCTAGTGGTATACTTTTCATGACATATAACACATATTTAATTCCTCAAATCGATGACCTAGAACTACGCGAATGACTTATACACCCGGAGTAGTACTATATAGAGGGTGTTTGGATCACTAGTGACTAGAGACTAGAGACTAGTAGTAGTCACCTTTAGTCAGTAAACCTCCAAACACCCCTGACTAATGGGTGACTAAAACTAGTTTAGTCCCTAGTCACCCCACCCCCAACTAAAAGTGACTAAAGTCTCTCCTCTAATTAATTGGCGGGCCCATCCCCTTCGCACGCATCTGTCGCCCCATCCCCTTCGCACGCAGGCAGGGGCAGCCGCCCCATCCACTCCGCCGCTTCCCTTTCCACCGCCGCCGCCGCGGCAGCACTCCGCCGCACCGCCGCACTCCCGCCGCGCCCGCTCCCGCGTCCGTACCATGGACGGCGACGGCGAACTCCCCTTCGATTTCTTCTCGCAGACGGCGTCTTCCGGTGCTGCGGCGCACCACATCGATGAGGACGGGTGGGGGATTACGCCCCCTCGTCTCCGGGGATCCGCCGGCCGCGGCTTGGTGGCAGGGGGGCTCGAGCGCGGCTCGGTGGCAGGCGGGCTCGGCCGCGGCTCGGTGGCCGGGGGGCTCGAGCGCGGCTCGGTGGCAGGGGGCTCGGCCGCGGCTCGGTGGCCGGGGGGCT